GGATCCTAGATCCCACTAACGACCTGGTTCTGGATCCCTCTAACGACTCAGTTCTGTTGGCAGTGGATCCTGGATCCCACTAATGACCTGGTTCTGTTGACAGTGGATCCTAGATCCCACTAATGACCTGGTTTTGTTGACAGTGGATCCTCGATCCAACTAACGACCCGGTTCTGGATCCCACTAACGACCTGGTTCTGTTGGCAGTGGGCCGGGGCGACGGCGCCTGTGCGGAGGTGGACTCGGACACGGAGGCGGTGGCGGGCCGAGGGTTCAAGCTCGGCTGCATCTCGTGCAAACGGAGGAGCGAGGTGGAGGGAGCCGCCACCGTGGAGTGGTACTTCAGGCCCAAAGGAGAGTCCGACTTCCTGCAGGTGAGTTCTGACGGGTGGGGCGGACCGGCAGGGCCAGACCTTCTGAGTTCTGCCTCCTGAAGCTGCGGGCTGAACCAGAACTCTGAGGTCCAGTTCTTGACGTCTTCTCTGCGCTCCTTGCCTCAGATCTACTCGTACGACGAGAACGGCGCCACCATCGAGAACGAGCTCTTCATGGACCGGATCGACTGGAACGGCAGCAAACGGAGCAACGACATCCAGGACGCCTCCATCTACCTGCTGAACGTCACCTTCAACGACTCGGGCACCTACCGCTGCTTCTTCTACCGCGTCCTGTTCTACGACAACTACGAGTACAAAGACGTCATCGACAAGGTGGTCCACCTCACCGTGGTGGCTAAAGGTACGGGTCCACCGGGCCTGAGCGGTTCTGAGGAGCAGCTTTTAGGACTTAGTTCAGCAGAGTGAGGAACGATGTGCTCTTTGCTGCATCGCAGCTCGGGAGGGGCCCGTTCAGGACTGAAGGGGTTAAATATTGAAGTCTGGATCAGAACCTGCTGATGGGTCTCCACTTGCTGAGTCAGCAGTTAGGACTCACTCTCTGCTGAGTCAGCATCAGCGAGCTCACCTTGCAGCGAAGAGGCCGAACATCACGACACGATTTCAGTCTGAAGGTCGCTCATTTTTCCTGACAGGCAGGTTGTAGTGTGGAGGCAGTATCTTACCTGCAGCAGACAGCACTCGGAACACATCAACCTTACAGGCAGAACCAGAAGCTGAAGCCACACAGGACGAGCGCCCCCTGGTGGCTGGCCGCAGAACAAATGTTAAGCCCCGCCCCCTCCATTGAAAACCGAGGTATTTTCCTGACTAAGAATAAAAAGTTTCCAAAATACGTTTGTTTTTAATTAAGAAAAGTGTTTCTCTGTGATTGACAGGCTGTTATCCAATTGGGATGGTGGGCGGGGCTTTTGTATCAATGGTACCGCCCACATCCAGATTGCCGATGATGATGGGGTCAAGCTAACAGCCAGTCAGAACAGGAACCACATTTACCAGAAACAACTTAAAGTCTGAACGTTTAGTGAACTTTAAACTAAACGTTCGGACGAGACATGGGCGTGTGTTCACGACCCAAACGGACCCGCCGAGTTCTTCACGAGTTTCTGGATAATCTGTGAATTTTCACGGTGTCAGAGTTTGGTTTCCTTTGATCTGCTGACGGAAATAAAACTGACGATAAGTCCCCGTGTGTTTACAACAAAACAACATTCTCCTCGTAAATAAACAGGAAGTTCTGGAAGAAACTCCGTTACTGAGCGAATCCTGAAACAGACGCGTCGATGAATTAAACGTCGGAACAAAAACGTTCGCTTGAGGAAACGGCAGCAAAGAAAATAACTGCGTCTCGTAACGACGGTGGAAATCATATCGAGCACTTCCCCTGAACGGAGATCACCGACTGCTGTCTGCTGCAGGTAAGACACTGACTGATCGGAACGACTCCACACAACAACTCTGATCAAGCAGATGATTTTCTGTGAGTTTGATCCTCTTCAGTCTGTTTCTGTGAGGGAATCCAGCTGTTGTGTTAAAGCTCTGGTTCTGACCCGGAGCAGACATGTTTAAAGCTCTGGTTCTGACCCGGAGCAGACATGTGTTAAAGCTCTGGTTCTGACCCGGAGCAGACGTGTTTAAAGCTCTGGTTCTGACCCGGAGCAGACATGTTTAAAGCTCTGGTTCTGACCCGGAGCAGACGTGTTTAAAGCTCTGGTTCTGACCCGGAGCAGAC